TAATGAAAAGTGACAGACGCCGGCTGCACATTGTCCCACCCCCCACCACCCCCTGCCCAATCCCTCTTGGCGCTCACTAATTGCGACATGCCATTATTAGCGCTGCGCAGGTCCAGCGCCTGTAATTGCAGAACATGCACTCGACAAATAGTTTGGTAGCAAGTTGGACCGTTGGAGACCAGCGCCGGGCCGGCAGGGCTCACCGGGTCACAGCGTGGAGAAGACAAGGGTGGGGGGGGCGAAGGGCGAGAAAACACCAAACCAACCTTCTGCCTTCAGTTCGTCAAAATCAGAGTCTACTCTTTCCATCCTCTCACTTCTTCATCCTCCTTTTTTGATTTACTCACAGATTATTCAAATTCTGAGGGAAACGCTGGAAACTTTCACTTCAGCTTCACTGTTTTAATCTTGTTTCTTCTTTTCTTTTCAGGGTTTTGGACCCAAAGAGCCAGTGAGACAGAAGAGGACCTGATATTGTGATAAAACCTCAACCCCATCCTCATATCGACTCCTCCCTCGTATTGTCTCCTCCTTGTCCTCCAGCCGACCACCCCTCTCTCCGAGGCCTCCTCAGGTCTTCTCCAGATCCTCTCCCCAGGTCCTGCTGTGGATGAGTTGTTATCAGGACTGGGACGTCTGCTGTCAGTCCAGCACAGCGAGCGTCTGATTAGAAGCTACCCAAACAGAGGGCGAGGAGCAGTCTGGGCCCAGGTCCTGTTCGGTCTCAGTCCAGTCCTGCTGCAGGATGGCAGGTCTATCGTTCTGTTTGGCTGTGATGACCTCCGCTCTCCTGCTGACCCTCAGAGCCGACGGTAGGACATTTAAAATCTGATCTTTCTATCATTCGACTCCAAACCTGTTGTGTGTCTTTTGTTTTCTTAACGAGGAGTAAAGATTCAACGGATATCCCCAAGATCCGAGGATGTGACGTGTTTTTATTTTCTGTTAAAACTCATCCTTCCTTTTCTCTGTAACTCTGACGTCTCCCCCTCATCGGTCATTTTTGCCTCTGACCACGAGGCGTTCTGTCTGAAGAGTTACTCATTCACCTTTTAGTTTGTATTCACAGAGATAAGCAGCACTTACACACTGACATTAGCATAAGAAGTCATTATGCTGCTGCTTTGTAATCAGCTCCCCCTTCCCGTGTACACACAGATGTATATCTGAAGCCTTTTGTTGAAGCAGTGATTAAGTGTCAATTGGCTGATAATGGAAAGACTTTGGAAATGAGCCTCTCCCTTTAGAAACAACAGAGACGACTCCCCCAGGATAAATAGATCCCGTCATGTGTTTAGGAAGCTTTAGGCTGCTCCACTGAGTACATTTACTTAAGTACAAATATACAGGTACTTATACTTTAAATGTTTTTTCCTACTTTATACTTCTGCTTCACTACATTCTAAAGTAAATCCTGAGCTGTTGAAAAAAACGGTTGTCAGTTCAAAGTAAGACGTCGTCCGATAAGGGCCCCGTCAATATCAGGATAACAGGAGTGGATCATGAGCCTTTCTACTAAAATCTCAGCAAATCAAGGCCTGTGACCTTCTGCAGCTGAGGGCGATTAAAGCTCCAGTACGTCAAGTACGAAGACTGACTGAGAGAAAAGTCCCATATTTTTCCTCTCGTCTGAATCAGGTGTTTTCTCTGTTTCCAGAAAGTGAATCTCAGTCTGAGAGTGTTTTTAAAAAAAGTCGATGTGTCGTGAAGGTTAAGGGCTCGAACAGGAAAACAAATGTGGCTGATAAACGTGTGGCTCTGAACATGAGCGGCCGCCTTCTGACCTGCCAGTCGCTGATCTACAAACACACAGGGCAGCCTGATAAGTGCAGGGAGGTGCTCGGCCCCGTGTGTCTGACTGTGATTTACTTTAATATCTGAGACTTGCTGCTCACACTTATCTACGCAGGAAAGGGAGAAACTCTTTCAGTCACATTGTCCCACAAGTCTTTTCCCACAGTCTGTTGACTCTGGCTTCAGTTCTATTTGAGGAGTAAAGTTAATTCTAAATCACCAATGCGTCCCAACAAGCTCGGGCCTGTTGTCGTGTTTTCCCATCATAATGTTGAAGCTGCATCAGAGATTTAAATCGGCCGAACAGTGTAAAAAATGTCAGCAGGAGACAGATTCAGCCTCTGTGTAATCTGCTCAGTGCAGGAGCTCGATAACAAGGATGAATGAATATGAAAACACTGCATCACAGTTGTGACATGAAATAACTCTGGTTGCACAGAACAACAACACAGACGGGAAACAGCATTGAGAGTTTAGGTTTTCACCCGTTTGTTGATAATATGACCGAATAAAGAATGAAGACATCAGGTTCAACGCAGCGTCTGCACCGTCTCCATTCTGCAGACTTTTACAGTCACTTCAGGATTATTTGATCGTATCTTTATTTCTTTCAACACCAGAACAAAACTAGCAAAGAGTTTCTAGGCAGCGCTTTTGACTGAAGTGACAACAGTTCTGCTCGGCTCCGTTTTTACACTGTGACATCTTGAACAAGTCGTTCTGCGAGCTGCACTGAAGACTGGACATTATCCTCCTGTTATGTGAAAACAAATGTAAGAGTGAGTTTGTGACTTTCAGCTCATTGTCCATGTGTCGGGATACAACGTCACTGCTCAGGTTCACTGTCACCGCTCTCAAAGCGTCGTCCTCGTCTGCAGCAGCAGCTGTTTTCAGAGAACCAGGCCGTAAAAACTCATCGTCCACAGTGAGAGACCAGCTGGTAATCACTGTGAAAATACCTGGTTCTGTCAGTAATTTCTTTTCAGGGTGAAAGGGACGAGGTTTAGTGAGAAATCCCAGTAAACAGTATTAAATGAGAGGCTTCCACTTTCAGCAGCTGTATCAGCTCTTTACAAACTCCACCACTTCTCCCTGCAGGAAGCTGTTCAACTGATTGTTGCCGCTCTCACTTCCTCCCTGCACATTAACCGTTTCCTGTATGGCACTGTACGAGCTGTCAGCGGCGCTAAATGATCCAAACAGCCATTGTTCTCCGGAAATATCCCTCAGTCCCTCCGGAGACATATTCGCCCTTTGAAACTGTTTATTTCACCTCTGGACTTTTCCTGTCGCAGCTTGTAAAGATGGAGAGTCGCTGATTTCTCACCAGATTTTTATTCCAGACCTGAGAGATGTGAGTCGCACGGCCGCCAATGAATTCATCTGATTCATCTGCCTCTGAATTTCATGATTAATTGATTAATCATTAGGTTCCTTAAATGTTTTGTCCTGAAGAGAATCGGGTCATAAGGATGATTTATTGTCTGTGGACGGGAAGTGATGGATGCAGAAGTGACGTAACAAGTGAAATCTCAGCTTCTCTTCTTTCTCTGTCCGACTCTCATGCAAACGAGTCGTCCATCGTTATTTACAGCCTGTGGTTACAGAGCTAGCATTAGCCGTGCTATAACAACAGGTCCAATGAACCAGACATGTTCAGCGGCTCCGTTAAAAATATTTCAGGGATGAAGAAAACAGCTGCAGGTGACAGAAGACAGATGTGTCCTCCCCGGGGGACACGTCACGGACAGTAGTCCTGGTTTTTAAACGTCTGACTCGGTCACTTCTTTGTCTGGACTTTGCACATTTGGTGTCTTGTAGTTGAGTCGACCTCAACAGATGTAGAGTTTAGTCTCCTTGTCTCAGAGCAAATGTCACAGTATTTACTTGTATTTACAGTATTTACACATCGCTTGTTTGTTTTACTGTGCATGACGTTGTAGACGGGGGTGGGGGGGTTATCGCCTCGGGGTGTGTGCTTGGGATGTTTCCGACCCAGAGGAGAAGATAACTGTGACTTTGAGATAGCGTCTCTCCTTAAGGCACAGTTCACCTCCTCTGCTGCACTTTAACTTCAGCAGCAGGAGGTGAAACGAGCGCTCTCCGGTCTCTAACCCAGCGGATCGACCACATTCCTTTCTACCAGTGGTGGAATGTGACATTACATTCGCTCAGTCACTGAACGTCTTGGTTTTATTGAAGTGGTACTTTTTACTTCACCACATAATCAGACAACTGGAAGATAGAGCGTCAGTTTACTTCACGAGTTGAAGTTTTACAAACAAAGCAAAGATTATTGTCAGAGACAGTTTTAGCTTCACAATTAGTCAAGTAAAGAATAAATCAGCTACTGAAATAAAAGATCTCAGGATGGGTCT